TACATGTACATACAACAGTACCAGTACATAAACAGACATGTACATGTATGTACATGTACATGCACTTAGGATTACCAAGAAAATTCTCCAGTACACCCCCATACATGCCGGGGTACTGAGTTTACAGTAACATAACATAAGTTACTCCATTTAGTAACTAAATCTTAGAAAATTAATCTAGAAAATACAATGACCCTTGTGGACAGCTGCAATTATTACACAGCCTTAGGTGCGGAGAGGCAATTTCATTCCCAGAGTAAAACCCACTGTCCAGAGTGCAGGTAGCTCTCGTATTAAGATAAATACCAAGGGTCAACTGGACAGACATTTCACTGAAGCTGTCGTGGCGGACATATGTACCGTACATGTACATTGTACATGTATATGAAAGCAGGGAGGAATTACAAATGTACCAGCATCGTGTGGTCGGTTGCTCCGGGGCGGACACGGGACATCCGCGCTGAGTAGAAGCGCAACCGTACATTCACAGCAATCAGCATTGACTTGGGCTTCCAACGGCATTTTCCAACACATTTTGTTTGCCCGCATCATTTATCGCACACAGTCCTAAACATGACTTTCATAGCTGATGACTGGCCAAACAAGGTCTACACAAAAAATTTAACAGGTGCTTGGGGGAACTGAACCATTTTTTACAAGCAAAACGAGGGACAAATGACTGGAGGTTATGACAGTGCTGTAACAGTAAAGCAAGCAGTCACACAAATCTTACTTTTCATTTCTAACTTGATTCTTTATCCTACCAAAAATGTTTCTTGTGTAAGACCACACATTCAAAGCGATATCAACATTGCCTAATGAACTACATATACATGTAAGAGATGAAGAGCAAGTTAATTCATTAAACATCCTACGCCTGACGTGCAAGAGTAACATACATGTACCAGCAAGCAACCACTGAGACAATAAATCAGGGTTGGTGTGCACTCAATCAAGTCATAATTCAGTGCACTGACATTTTAATCTCACTGATAAACCAAGGGAGGGGAACTTCACTCTAGTTCAATTTTGTTTACTATAAATATACACATGATCTCACTCATTAACGTTTATAAGTATTCTGTATACCCATGACCTTCCCAGAGAGTACCTGGTATTAGCAGGATATCAAAGCAATGCTCCGGTAAATCTAAATGTTATGACGTTATGTTATCTATTCTTTAATTCACACTGGCATAACAATACATGTATGTACCAGTAAGTTCATTAAAATACAGTTTAAAGGGTGAGAAGGGGGCGTGGCCCTGCATACTCCATCGCATTCCTGTATTTTTAATGAAATCCAGTGATGTTACAGGTAGATTGTACCAGCATACTAAGTTCTTCTGCAATGTTTGCAAAATAAGAATGAAAACAACGAATTCGGAACAGCAAATCATTGCAATCAGCAGTGTGGAATTTTGTTTCTGTATGCTGTACGTGTACATGAAGGTGCTTCATTCATTCAAACATTTCTCAAGCAATTTGTTGATCAAGAAAAAAATCAAATAATTTGTCATGGACACATATTACGTGCATGTACCCAATACATGCGTGCCTTCAATGACTACCTGCACAAATACATTATCTAAATATCTATGTGCATGTACATACCGGTATATGTACTGGCATCTCCTCCTAACAGATCTTACATGTACATGTATATTAACATTATTCTCCTCAGTATTCAACTGTAGGACACCTCAGATGTGATCTCCCACATTATCAACTCACAGCAAATGGTGAATTAAAGGTTTTAAAATCCAATTTAAACCGCAGGATTTTTAGTTACAGCCAACGGCATCACAAAGAATCACGTCAAAACAATCCATCAGGCTCGAGTTTTTTTAAATCTAAAAAGCGAAAACAAGAAGTACAGTTTTACCAGAAACAAAAAGAGCATTGAATTATATTCACGTCAGAGTCATTACCTTCCCTCTGTTGACAAACAAATCCAGACATAAAATTATGTGTAACAGGCACTGATTATCGATTGGAATTGGAACATTCAGCAGTGGTGAAAACTGCGCAACGACCTACCCTCGGACCCGGTCTCCATTTTGAATCCCATTTTGCTCTGGCGGGTTGCTGCAGCTGTATAACACATCCACTCCGGACCTCCCTGACCACATGGCCCGCTAGGTCCCCCCTTCTCTCTGGATGAGTGGACGAGTGTCAAAAGGGCAGCAGGAACGATACGCCACTCCACCGCCAAGATCTTACAACCTCCTTCCCTCACACGACAAACCTCCAAATGGACACACACGGCTGGCCAAGCCCAGCCTGCAAAAACATCCAACCACCTCGCCTACACAGCTGATACCATTAGGCTGATGAATTATTCATCAGGCAGTGTTGCTTGGACATGTCGGTGTGGGATGGTTTCGGGGCTGTTTGTCCAGTGATACTCAGGGAAATGGGGGGGGGAGGTCATTTGCATATCTGGATCCTGAGGGATGCTCACATAGAGCTTCTACTGTTGCTAGGGGATTGCAATGAGGCTTTCTGAATTTCCAAGTAGTGACTGATCATTATTGATTTTTCAACAAATGGTTCTCTATCCAAAGGACAGACTGAAAAATCCTCTCAGAAATATTCAGGCAGGATTTTTTTGGAAATTTAAACATTCACAGCACAATATATGTACACGTGTGCATACATGTATGTTTTTCTACTATTATAGAAATTGCATACTGATCGATTCATTGCTTTCTTACAGTACAGATAGAAACATGAACATAATTTATGTACTTTTCCCAGACAAAATAAATGTACCGGCAACATTGAGCTTCACAGAGTAAAGGTACATGTACACTGTGTGAACATGTGTGTGCATTTTGTAAAAATACATGTGACATTCATTGTGAATATCTGAAAATCATCATTTATAACAAATACATGCAAAACTTGATCTGCGGAAGTTAGAATGTCATTTCGTCAGAAGTGTATTCAAGGGTCAACATAATGTCCATGATTACAATACAACTCAACAATCCAAATAAAGGTGGCCAGTCTGTACCGGTAATTAGATTCCATGCAATCAATTAATAACAGAGAGGGTTACCTCAGTGACAGGTATTCAGGGTACAAATTTCTCTAATGACTTTTGGCCATACCTACATGTGCATGTACATATTCCGAGAGGTACACAGTTTTCAGAAAAGGAGTAGATGAGGATGGTTTGTATCAAATCAAATACATACACATGTAGCGAACTAATTTATACAACATCCAGGCTGCATACATGTTCATGTACTTGTACGTCCTGTCAACACATTTTACCAAAGCTGTTTCAATCAAGGGCTTCTGTATAAAAGTTTAGAACTTTCACGTAAGAACCCATTTACAAAGACGAGGGATTACAGACAGCATTTAGGGAAGGCCTCAGACATTTCACTAGAAATTTGGAAAAAACAAGGAAATTCCTAACTGCAAAGGTTTAGTACGGTCTTTTTCAATTTGTTCTGGCATACGTGAGGGGTATAAAACAAGGAAATCAAGAAAAGAAAAGTTGTTCCCTCGCACACAAGGCAGAAACCCTTTTAACTCAAGCAAATCATTATTTGTTACTGACTTTCCATAATAACCACAGTACCACAGAGGAAGAATCCAAAACACGACAGGGGAAGTGTTCAACCGCGGTATCAAGCTTAACGAGGTGGGAAATCTTTTTTACAAAAAATACCGAGGAACCTAAGCACTCTCAGTGTCAGTAATCCCAGAGGAAGTCCCCTTGTCAAAATACTGGTATTTTTGAAAGCTCAGAATTCCATTACCTCTGGCCTGTGTGACTTGAGACCCTTCAGCAAGTAACCAGGCTTCAGTCATACCCATGATAGTACTCGTAACTATCATTATCCTTTCTGTTCTAGATACAGACACCTGCACTTGTGTCATAGTTACGGCACAGTGCTCTTTATTTTATGGTTTACTTCAGAACTAGAGGCCATTACTGTGGAGGCATAATGTTCTTGGACAGGTGGTACGCCCACATTACATGTATATGCCTCTTTGACTAATAGGGTGTTGTTATTTACTAAACGCACGCATGCATGATGCTTAAGAACACGCACGTGAGTGTGGTGCCTTCGCAGTAATGGTGCCTCCTTGGATTAGTCTAGAATCTTTGAATGCACATGTAGTCTTTCCGTAACCCTCCTTTTGCTGTAACCGTCAAAACAGTCAAAAATTCCTTCCACTTGATTTCCCCCAGTACACAGACACGTATGGGAAATTTAACTGATTCTGACTGATAGGACAACGGTGTCAAGAATGTGTCTTTGCATAGGAGGGTTAATGTTAATTAACTTTATTTTTCCTGTCACCTTGTGGGGCAGGGTTTTCAAGTCACATGTAATGCTAAAAAGTTCCATAGGTTCCATATATTCCAGTACAAGTTACACTTTTCAGAATGCACTTGGAGTCCCTGGAATTCAGAGCACAACTTCAGTTACTGAACACTTCACTGGCCAATTCTGAGGCAAAAATTACACTTGAGAGCACTTCTTTACACAAGCAAACCATCACACACAAAACAAGTAAAATAAATGAAACAAACTGGAATTGCAATTTGGAATTTGACAATAATAAAAAAGTGACTTACAGTCTAAGAAATCCTCTTCTCTCATTTCTGCTTCTTCCTCACTAGCAAGCGATGAACTCTCAATCTCTTCCTAAGATGGAAATAGGTAATGAACAACACTGCTCCAATACTGCTTCCTTATAATGCTCAGCCATTACAAGCACCTTGGCACTGAAGGCAAAGCCTTGTTGCTTCCCTCGGAATATCCAGCAAATGTTCAGGTACATAAACTCTAGAAGATCATTTGGAGGCTTTTTAGAATAATGTTCCTTGATGGCCCTTTCTTCAAGGCATCACAGATTTCACCGTAAAAAAATTGCTTTTGAATTTCCGGTAATTTTGTGACAGAAAGTGAATGTTACGATATCCTGTACCTCATCCTCAGAGGAAGAAGCAGTGGAGGAGGCAGGGTACTCCAACGCATCGTAGAACTCCAGCAAGGACTCTGAGCGGGACATCTCTCGGTCATCAGATAGCTGGGGTGACAGGCCATAAGACTGGGAGGGGGGAACAAGCAGCCAATCAATTTATTGATCAATTTACATACACATGTAATTGCCAACTATTGAATGGATTAGGTAAAAACAGAGCTGGAGAACTCCATTCCTTGGAGTGTGTTGCTGAATTGCACTGAAGTTAGTGTTCTACAGCAAACCAAGGGCAACGGCAGTCATGCTATGTAAAAATTGAAGAGATTTGGAGAATGGAAAAGAGTAAAAGTGAAACTCAGCCAGTAAATGTGTGACTTGATGTACGCGTCATCACAGTGACCCCATCAGCCAACAGCACTCCCCCACTCAGATCACTAACCTTGTCAACACATTTAAATTGATAGAATGGAGAGGTTTCAACATACACTTCTCAACTCAGTGAGGTCCACCAGAAATTTTTTTCTGTTGAATTCTCTGTTGTATTACAAGCAGGGGCCAATTTTGTCGAGCTGTTTAAGCACAGAATTTGTTTAAGCATGAAAAACCAATATTTAATAAACAAAGGTTGCCAGCTCAAACTCTATGAGATTGTTATGCTAACCAAAAGACAGGTAAATACATGTTCCATTCCAAAACAATATACATCACAAGAAGTATTGGCAGGTAACCTGATTCATCAAGCAAGGTTTTTCACGCTCAAACAAATATTTTGCTTAAAAAGTGCAATGAAATCGGCCCCAGCTCATACTCGTGAAAAGAAACATCAACCCGAACGTACATGTCATGTGCAGGTATGTGTACTGGTATGTACATGTACATGTAGACTCACAAAAGATGCACATGTTCAAATCAGCAAAAGTTGGAGCACTCTGAGGTAAACTTTTTAATTATTTCAATATTGACAAGGAATATAAGGATAAAGTAAAACAAGTTGGGCACACACTATTCAACTTGATCAGAGACGGAATCACTAATTCTACATGTACATGTAGGGTTTAAAGTACAGCATGCAGCACATGCATTATTTCAACAGCATTCCACTTGAAAATTTTGAAGTTTGTGTAAGATGAACTTCCAAATAATGTACACGTAACCAGTTTACCAGTATGATGCACAACTACTGCTATAGCATATTGCAAACAAAGAAAAGAACATTTTACTTTAGACTGACACAAAATATAAGAAACATGGCTGATGCAAGTACATACGGGAGGCTGAAAATTACCAACGTCACATTCTGTTTCAAGCAACATCATTATCTAAGAAAGTTCTTTTTTTTCTCCCGTTATAAACATGCTGGATACACAAACCCAGTGAAGAAATATCCCGTAGATGCCCAAACTTTTCAGTTAAATTGAATTTTGCACCTGATGAGGGTTAACGTCGATCTTATTTGAGGAGGGGGGAATACCTGAGCTGATAAAAATGATTGGGTGGGGAGGAGGGGGGAAGATTGGCCAAGTTAATGTTCACAAGGTTCATACATGACCTACACTGAATACAATGTATGGGTACCAGTGCACATGTACCAACCAATTGTACCAGCACAGACACACCAAGAAAGCATGCTGGACACACCAAGAACGAGCCACACGGAAGTGTTTCCCCACCTTGGCTGTGACCATGCCGTCCTCTAAGTCAACACTACGATTGCGGCTTAGCTTGGTCAGTAATGTCTCTAGTGTTCCACCACCCTTGGAAAATGAAACCAGGTGAAGATAAGCTTATCGTTCGGCACCAAGAGCAGCAAAAGTGTGGTGAATGGTACCTGTCGCAGAATTTGTTCAGAATGACACAACCCATACATGTGCATGATCTTATGAATGCTCACAACTTTGGCTAAGACAAGTTCCTGGAATCAAAACAGCCCTGGTGAATCTACAAAACACTACAAATTCAGTACCGGTAAATTAGTGTGATAATACATATGGGTCATTCCACAAGGTTGGGGCACAATTTGTAATGATGTCCTTATAACATGGGTAACTTTTACCACCTGTCATGACCTGTAGATCATTTACAGTACTCTGTAAAAAAAATACACCCCTCTGTATTCAGCCTTGCAAGATGTATAACAATGTGAATTTGGAATCCACACGCAGGGAAATAGCTGTTCATTTTTACAGAACCCACATAACAATGGACACCATCACAAATTGTGCCCCAACCTCATGGAATGACCCGTGTACATGTGTATGAAATGTGGAATCACTTCAAGAGAGAGAGGAGGCATGAAGGTTTGCATCATGTCAGAGCTGCAGTGAAGTGAAGTCTCTCAGTACCCTGTAAACTGTACCAAACCCACATGTAATGATATTCCGCGAGCTTCACATTACATTTACACCGTGTCACTTACACGTACAGTACATTATGCTTGGAGGGTCAAAGTTAAAGAGTGAGTACATATACATGTATTTTAATGCATGCTAAGAGATTTGCCAGCTGTCCTGAAATGAAAGGAAACCAGGCATTAGAACTGTGGTCAGGGATGCTCTGGCCTCAGAACACAAGTGAAACGTCTGTACCTTCCCTGATGAGAACCTTACATACGTGTACGAGCATGATTACTATAAACCCGGGCACGTACAGTACAAGTAAGATATGTACCGTATGATGAGATGATTCAAACGGTTACATACCAGTTATGTACAAAAATGTAGTCTCATACATGTACATGGGCAGAAGTTCCAGTGAATTTAAAAGAAAAAAAAATCATTAAGACAAAGAAGAAAGAGAATAAAATAATCAGATTCTTGTTACGATTAATGTAAAGTGTAACTAACCAGATTGCAGATTAACCAACTATGTGTAAATGTGCAGTAATGCATTAAGATGTAATTAGAGTGACTGCCAGAGCACAACTGTTTTCATGTACTGGGGCATGCATTGAGAGTACTTAGTTGACTACAAATAAAGCAGCATTAATGCATACAAGTACATGATGAAATTACCAGTACTGTCCCTGGTTAGGTACATGTATGGTAGTGCACCAGTATCATGTGAAGACAGCATCAATTTACATTGCAGCCATGTTCCAGCCCTAATTAAGCAACCAGGAGGAAGGCTGATGCGATGAGTGTGTAAGTTGCCATTATCAATATCTATAAGCCTGCAGGGCCCAATTTCATAGCACCGCTCAACAGCTGATTATGTGTCTATAGAGCCTCCCAGTGTTCCATGGAGAGGCACAGTGAAAAGCAAGCTTAACCACTTCCTGCCGGAGGCATTTATAAATGTTAATTCTGCTGGGACGGAGTATTTTTCATTTTTTTTCTGTTTCCAAAATTCTTTAAAAATTCATATCTTCAATTACTGGACATTTACAGTCTGGTTCTACTCTAATCTGACAACATCTATTGACACTGGAGTATCTAAGCCAGGCCTGCCACCTTGTAAAATGAGCCCAGATTGTGTGGTGTTGCATAAGTTTCTTTTGTTCCCGAAACTGGCTCAGTGCACTGCTGACCTCTTTTCAATAGGGGCTAGATTAGAGTGCAGCGGTACTGTGTGGCTCATCGCTGCAGTGGTGGAGCGTTTTTGGCCCTGGTGGTAATCCGCTCACACTGAATGCCCCACACAGTGGCATACTGTTTCAAAAAATGCTGAATTATCTTCACTATCGACAGTGAAAAAAAGTTGGTAATTCCAAGCAGCCTGGTCTTTAGTTCCGAGTACCGTCTTTTGTTACAAGGCCCAGTTCGCTTTGTCCGATTTCGGGCACCCTGGCTGTGCATATAAAGAAAACGTGCCCCAAACCAGGCTCTCCGGCAGCAAGTGGTTAACCCCATCGGAAAATGTTGCTTACATGTAAATCACCGGCACAACAATACAAATCTCCATGCACGTGGAACTATTAGCCCATTCCTTCCACATACATGTACAGTATTCGTGTTCAAGCATCTTGCAGGATTTTCTGCCACAGTAGGCATGACTGTTGTGTTACCGGTAGAATTATAAAACTGGGCCCAGATTCTCATAAGCACATGCCGTGTCACACAAGAAATTCCACAAGAAGACTCTCTGTACCACAGTGCAGCTTGAAGCAGATTTACATGTTTACATCCCTCGGTATCATGACTTTGTTAATGATGTAAACAAAATATTGAGTGGCTTTAGAACATTTGGGCCAATTTCAGATGGAGTTGAGACTACCGTACAGTTATACAGATCTGTACATAATAGTCATGTTCATTTCGCCAGTTACCAGCAAATTTAAATGTAATCTTTTTTTCTCACACCAAACATTGTTGAAGCAGATATTACAGTTAGGAAAAGATTGAAATTGGCCCTTTGCATATGAAACTTCTCCTTTTTTAACAAAGTGGGGTTAAAAAATAAGATGCGTAGTTGGCAAGAACAGGTTTTACCTTCAGGTCATGATTGTCAAAGCTGAAACTCAACTTTAGTGGAGTGGGCAAAGTGAAGGACTTATGATGCTGCTGAAAAAATTTCAAACATTCATGGCAAAAACAAAATACTGGGATCAATAACGTAACTGCTCTTAGGGCACTGTTCTTATTTCAATTAAAATTCTGTTGTATTTTATAGCACAGCCTAAAGGGGACTGCAGTGCTATAATCTGAGTCTTCCCGAAAAATTCTGAGGAAGTTTGTCTAGCAGAGGGAGAAACTCACCAATGTTTTTCCCTGAAATCTCTTATCTTCAGGTTAGCTAACGGAACCATGTAATTTTACCCTAATGACAATGTTTGTTACTTCCTGCATGTATAAACACCTACTTTTCCCAAGGGACTTCACTTTTGGTTCTCACATAAATGTAATGTGGACAACAATGATCCACAGCCTGGCTGAAGATGTTTAAGTCTCAGTTAACCCCCATATTGTGAGCAGAGGTCAGAATAGACTAGTAATATTTGACAGTCTTGGATCAGGGCAATACCGAGAATACTCAATGTTATCGTGACGGTCTCCACAGCACGCAGTCGAAACTAATGATTCAAAACTTATTTGTGACTGAACAATAAAGAGCAACATTTCAAACATAGAAATTAGAGACAAAATACAGCATTACAATTATTATGGGCAAGACGGGTCGTAGAATCAGTCTTAACTGGGTGAAAAATACCAGTACAGGGTGAACGTTAAATTTACCCACCCCATCAACTCCATCCAAGATATCAATGCCATTGGCTTTACCAAAACAAATTTATTACAGTTTGATTTGATAATTTGGCTAAAATATGGTAACTCTTCTTGAGCATCAAGCTCAGCAGTGCAGCTTCTACTCACCAGGAGTTCAGTGTCTGATTTGATGGGCGGTGACAGGTCCTGGATGTTGGATTCTGCTTGGATACGAGACAGTCTCCCCCTCATGTCTTCGTTCTGACTCCGAGCCTGCAACAGGAGAACAAATGCAAAACAATGTTGCCGCACAGAGAGAAATGTCTTCCTGAAAAAGAACCCCATCTGCAACCACCCTGACCCTACAGGCTTTGCTACTGACTGATCCAAGTTGGCCATTCAACACTACAAGCCTCTTAGGAAGCTGACCTCTTCTTGCACAATAATACTACGCACAATCCTTGCATCTTCCCTTATAAACCACAGGTGCAGCTTGAGATCTAGGGGCTGGAAGCTCAAACACTGAAATCTCTCAGAAATTCCAAAGCCAAAGTTTCCATTGATGGCTTACAATTGACAGTGTACAGGTGTGCATCAAAATCGGTATCTCTTTCTCTGAACCTCTACGAGTCCACAATGTACATGCATATTGTTTTAGACTGATTTCTTGGCACTGAGCCTACACAAATAGGCAACTCATTCTGAGCTTTTGGTGTCACTCTCTTACCTGTGTAACAGGACAAACTACCAAAGCTACCAGTATCAAAATGACAATAGCCACTCAACCTGTTCTTGACAGAACACTTGCATAATCAGGAATATCATCAAATCTAACACTGCAGCAACACAGCAGCATCAGATTTACCTTTGCCAATGCTTCCTGGAGTATTGCGATTTGTCTAGACTGGGAAGCCGCACCTCCGACACTGTTCTGAGATTCGATTACAAAGCGCAATCTGTCGTGTTGGACAGACAGCAGATGAAGCACACCTTTAAGTATTCTATGCACTGAAAAGTACAAACAGAGGGAAAACATCAGTGAAGATTTTCCCTTAGTTTACAACATTTTGTATGGGCAGCCAGTTTTCAGCATGCTCGTCCTTGACTAGCAACAGTTATTCTTCAAAGCAGAGTTCACACCGACCCATTTAAAATAAAGGAGAAGTGTCAAATTTGTTTGATATTTAGTAATAATATTTTATAGTGTTTTAATGGACAGTGTGAGATTTTTTGACACTGTGGAAAGAGTTCCACAAACGGACGCCTTTTGACACCATGTGCACAAACCCTATGAGAGTGTTCGGAAAAATTTGAAGTGTTTTGTAAGTAAACGACTTGGTATTCCCCCCCCCCGAAGTGAACTTTTCTGAACATGTTTTGCTATCTGACAGCTAATAGGTCACTGTAGGAAATAGGGTCCACATATGGACCTCTTTCTGACACTACTTTTGCACAGATAGCAAAATTTTTTTTTTTCATTCGTCTAGAGATAAAAACTGCAACTACAAACGGGTATATAACAGTTGTGTGCCCACTTCAACTAAGCACATAATGAAAATGGTTTTCAAGTTTCAAGTATACACAAACCTCACTTGCAGCAGTCACCGGCTCAACATCATGTTGAAAGATTCTTTGTCCAAGTCGCTGCTTTCAGTCAATTTCATATTATTATAGTGAGGCCTTACATGTATTTTTCGGCATTTACTTTGTACATTGGCCTACACACATCAATGGACACAGAAAAGTCTGAAAAATCATGGCAGCATCACTGTTATGGCAGGGCAAGTGAGCCCCATCTCTGTCATAAGTCAGTGTTCATGTGCATATTCTTTGCACATAAATGGCAACAGGTTTTGTGCCCATTCAACTGAAAATCTGTGGGAAGGCATGGCATGGCTCACACCATAAATGAGCACATTCTTGAAATGTCCTTCATTGGATCACATAAGTAAGCCACACTTTCCTTTTGTCGACTTCACTACATAAAGAAATGTTCAGTATACCACCATATATGACACTGAGAGATTACTTACAACTCCAGTGCAGGAAACAAATGTGTGCATGTACATTGTGTACACCCTGGCTTACAGGCACCAGCCAATGTGTTTGTGTCACAGGGAACAACTGCATGTCTTTCTGGACAGCGTACCTTGATTGGCCATATCCATAAAGTCATCTCGAGGGTTAGACTCCTCCACCAGCTGCTTGGAAGATGTGGTGGAGTGCATGGTATCATTTCCCGTTGAGTTGCCTGGAATGATCGTTGAAGAGCTGCTCGAACGCTTTCAAAGACAATCAGCAGGTTCCCAAGGTAAGTTATTTTGAATGAGTGTGGTCAGAATTGTTTCTCAACACTGAGGATTTATATGCTGCTTATTAGAATGCTTGTCAACAGGGGATGAAGGGACTCACTAACTATTGAGGTATCTATGACTTGTTACCAAAACCCTAAGGTAAACTGACAAATCCCAGCCTGTTTATTCCTACCAAAATCTTACCCGACGCTAGACTTGCAAGTTTTATTTGGGTTACCGGTAAATCAACTGATCAGTATATCAATTATTCTGTAATATTTTTTCTATTCAATATAGGCGTTTCACAATAGTGCACCTCCAAGAATTTGCAACGCTTTGACCAGTCACAGTGCGCGAAATCTGTCGACCCAATGCGCGCATTTGGAAATGGTTGACAGATTTCACGCCTTGTGATTGGTCAACGCGTTGCAAACTCTTGGAGGTGCACTATTGTGAATTGCCCGTATTAATGATGACAACATTTCGTGAAAATGCAGCGTTCCTTTGAAAATGCACAAATGGTCCAAACTTCCTAAGCCAAAAATCTCAAACATTACCACTGAACAAAAACTAATCGGGCAAACACAAAGACAGGGAGTACATGAACTTCCAACTGAATGATCTGATGGATTGCTTGCTTTTCTGTTACTGCCGAATCAGCTGTTCAGTTCATCAAAATGTATAAAACGGAAATAATTACTTGATGTGAAAATAAAAAATTTTTTTTTTTACAATTTACTGAGTGCCAATCACAAGAATTGAAAAAACAAATTGACACCGCACTGTTTTTCTGGTTACCCTTACATCCCCCACTGAGGGATCGCTTGATGATTTCTTGGTTTTTCCTTTACGAAGTGAAAGTTTCCCTTTGGATCGCTTCTGACCGGCGATGTCATCGACCTAAACACAGATATATTACAAAGAAATACTTGAAATGACATGATTTACATAATCTGATTCTTTGCAAGCTTTTGCGTCTTGAATAATGAAGAGAAAGGTTTGTCCTTATTTGTAGTATAGGTTTTTGGGCAAGTAGAAAGAATTTTGAAGGGCTTGTAAGGGTTGGGCACATTCTACACAGCCCGGATATGGGCTCACCTCAGGCTCCTGAGGACCGTATGGATATGGTAGCTCCTGGTTCAACAGATCCTGGATGATGTTGGACAATGTCACAACGCTGTTCTCGGCCTCTGTCAACTCTGTAAAAGCCATGCGACAAGAAAGAATAACAGTTTAAGGGGAGTAAAATTTGTTGGTCATTAAGTTAACATGCAATATTGAATGCTTAGGAAGTTACTGGGATTTTGTTGTTCAGTTTATATGGCTACATGATGGAGAAAACTCTTGGCTAATATGAAAGATGTGCAGCTGTCAGGTTGGCAATGTGAATACATCCATCTATTGATTCAACAGAATCTACCAGTACATACATAAATTTGGAGTCCACTTTTTGTCTTGTCCCTGTTACATCTGGCATATGAGTTTTTACTGTTTAGAACTCCCTGTTTAATTTCCAAGACTGAATAAGTACTGTAGATTACATGTACCTGCCAAACAAATACTAGTTTGAAATCAATTTCAGTGATACGTCCCTTGTCAAACATGTCAGATGGTATACATGTCAAAGCTAACAGGGATGGGAAAATCTCACACTTTGGACCCCAAATTTATAGAATGACCCATTTATGGACCTCAACAAGGTTTATTCATGTTATATCTGTGTTGCCCAAACCCCAATACAGATACTGTACCAGAATGCATGCTTGAAACAAACAGAAGCATTATTATGAAAAGTTTACACAAATATCTGTATGTACTGTCCATTTCCTTCATTTTACTTTACAGAAATTTATGTCAATGTCTCTTGATATTTACACTCATGTCCTTCAGTACCTGCACTGAGTTCATTTTCATTTATGCACCAACAAAACTCTTGGTGCTACGTGTATGTTCAAGTATTTCATTCATTCTGTGCTAAACCCTAGCCTTTAGTTCTTTTTGTGGATTAGTTTGGGACAAATGCCTCTCATAGTGCCAATCGATGGAAAATCGAGGGAGGTCAATTCCAAGGGGTTTTAGGCACATTGGTGATTTTCATCCCTTTTCCTCCTCTTTCTGTTCTTTTTTCCCCTCATTTTTTTCATTTTTGGGGGACGGGGGAGGAGGTCGGAACACCCTCCCCCACTACACCCACCAGAAGGGATGACCGGTAACCAAGAACCCACCTTTTGAACACTTGTCCAGCTCGGCGATCTCCATCTTCCAGTTGCCTGAGCTCTGTGTGGTCAGCGGGCCCGGCAGTCGGTACTTGGACATCTGCTTCCGCAGACTGAGGCGGCGGCGCTCCAGGGTCATGGCCTTAAGGGTGATCTCGCTGGTGGGGCTGGTAGCAGCTGCCGGGTGGGGCGGCCCGCCGACCACGGCAGGCCCATTGCTCAGCAGGGCCTCCTCGGCCAGCTGCACCTGCTTACGGTAGGCTTGGTGGAGGAGCAGGTGGTTGTGCCAGGCCAAAAACTCATCGTGGGAGGTGGCCTGAGAGATGGGAAAAATTGGCAATAAGTAGCCGAGGAGTTTTTACCACCTCTCAGTTAAAGATAACAAATTGAGACTATGTCACTTATGCCCCCAAAATCTCTTTTAGATTTCAAGCCCACTGAAATTACGGAAGAATGTGTTTTCCTTTAAGCAGAGTATAAGTAAGTTTACAATTGAGTAGCATATGCATGTGAGTGCTCGTAACAGTGCTAAGCAAAGAATATATGCCAAATTAGCTCAAATTGGAATAACCAATTGCAAAAACGTACCTGTTAATTATAAAACTAAGAATTTTTGCACATGCATTGAGGTTTTTTCTGTTGATATATCTACAGTGCTCCTCAATCCTTCATCTGTGGAATGGTTAAGGACAGTTAGAGTTTACGGTTCTTGAGTAAGGTATTCAGTTTTGACAGCCTTGAACATTTGTTCACTGGTTGGTGACAAATGTTATTTAGCCAGATAACAACACGACAGTACATTAAAGGACTGCCAACCTTAACGTGATAGAGGAACTCTTCTGTATCGATGTCAATTCTCCTAGCCTTGCTGTCTTCTTCCTTCTCTGTTGAGATGACAGCCGACAACACATCGATGGTACCATGAATCTTGCCTTTCATCAGCTGAAGTATTTATAGAAAAGATGAATACATGAGAACACAGCTGTCGTGTGACACCGATGGAATTCCACTGAAACGTAGTTGGGCTGTGCGTAACATTCCCAAAATGGTGACAAGCTTGCTGTGTCATTTCTGGCAAACCTTTCTAGTGACTGCACAGATGAGCATTGGAATGATTTCAGCTTTGCTGACTTACAGGCTACACTGCTTTTGTCTGTCTAATAACAAATACATGTACATACCCTGTGACACATCTTCCCTTCAACAAATTACATGTATGCAACAAATTTAATAACCTTTTCAATCTGACTAACCTCTCCGCAGTTTTTGCCATATGTCAGCATGCCTTTTTCCAGCACAAAATATCTCTGTAAAACAAACGTAGGGGAGAAAAATTTGAACAATTGTGAATGTGGCATATCAGGTGACATTTTAAGGTAAATATCAGTTCAATGAAGAGCATTCTAAGTAGGCTCGCAAAAAGTTAAAGACTGTTTCTAACCAATTAATGATTCTCTTTTTAATTAGCATATCACTCAATTAAATGACTGATTTTTTTATACAACACTGTCACATAAGGTTTTATCAACAATAAAAATGCAAATGGTCAACATGTACAGATATACTGAGATTTTCAAACAAAATACAAACATGGATTATAAAGATGAACAAAGAAATTGACTGGAGCAGGATTTGAACCTGCAACCTCTGGAACACCATACCAGTGCTCTACCAACTGAGCAATATAAAAATTGCTAAAGAATCTTTACGATGAAAGTTATCTGCATACATGAACATGTACTGAACATGTACATGTATGTACACGTACGTTGTTTTTTTTTGCATTTCAACAGTAAGTCCGTCTATGTAATCTTCCACTTGTTAAAGTTTCACGTGTTTAAGGTTTACATTTTAGGTTTAATAAAAATGTTTTTAGGTGTTCTCTGTCTGGCTCCTTTGAGAAAGGAACCCTTCATTTTTATTACACATATTTTGAAGAGACATAATTTAGATTTATTATTAATGCATATGCTATACATGAGGGGGCCTGCCGCATAATCCTGCATTCATTTCACACTTTCATTTTTGTTGAAATATTTCAAATATAATACTTTGTATAGAACTAAATGTATTGTGAGAATACTGTTGCATTACTACTGGTAATATGAACAGTTTTCATTGTTTCATTCATACAAGATGGGCCAAAGACTGATTTACATGACATTTCTGTGCATCTACCACGATGAAGATCCTTTCTTTCTTCTCATGCATCAGTACCTTGTGCCATCCCTTCATGGGACGTTTTCTACGTTTCAGTAGGTACCCTTCTATCTTGCCAGGCTCCTTCTCCACAGTCTGGCCAACCTTCTCCAGGTCCAACGGCAGCAGCTTAGGGGACTTCTTGTCTGCTTCGTCTGGTGCCCCAGTGCCAATGGCAGAAGCCAGGCTACCTGTCATTACCACGGCTTCAGCTATCGGTTCCTGGGTAAACAAGGGGGAAAAGTAGGCACAAAAATAGAGAAACACTTGTAAATTATGAGAAAGCCGTCATCATCATCATCATCAATTTTCCATGCCGCCAGTATGTACATGTACATACACTAGCACATTTACACACACTATAAAATACATGTAAATGTATCCCACTTCAGCAAGACTCCATTAATCACTTCACACTGCACTTCAGGCATGTCAGGGGTCAGATTAAAATGCTAATGTATATATACATGCAATATGTAAATGTGCATGTACTGAACATTGGTTGATTGGTACCAACAGAAGACAGGTGACTTCTTCCCTCCTGTGTTATTGATGTTACCGGTAAATGCATGCCCTTACATATAATATTTCACATGTGGGATGAAATGAAAGTTCAGATGCTAAATAGATGAGCCCATTTTTCACCTGTTGAGAAAATCAGCTTGGGAAAATGGGCTTGTGCGCATGCGTACCTCCTGTAACTAAGGATTTTGTGCTTAAAGGGTTAGCGCAGAACTTTTCTGCTTGCACGGTTAGTGCAGAATGGAGATTGTAAGCGCGGAATTCTGCTGTAAGCTGCGCCATGAAATTGGGCCCTGATTCGTGGATTCTTTTCCATCTTGTACCATATATGATACACAAACATGTACATGTACATGTATACAATGTTTCTGAAGTGTAACACTGCTGAGTGCACAATGCACTACTGTTTCGTAATGTGTACATATGCATACATGCATGTATACATGTACATGTACAGTGCACTGTAATAAATGTATACCGGTACCAGCATGACTGGTACATCATTCTACACACACATGACTACAGGTACAGACCTGTACATGTACCTGTAGAGGCGGTCATTCTGCATATTAATTCTTATTCATCTGGATTTGTGCACACCTGCGCTGCCATACAGTACATGTAAGTGTACCGGTACATGTACCAGGTAGCGGTAAGTTGCTGCATTACTGACAGTACTAGTGTGATCATTATACATGTACAGTAGGTGACTCATTTATAGGAAAATACATACATGTATACATGTATTACTGGCACAGTGTAATGCACAATCATGGAAAAACATTACCAGTAGTTGGAAATTAAAAAACCTGTGATATACAATGTACATGTACATACATACAACTCACAGTAATGAGCCCTAGGGATACATGTACAGGTATGGTACATGTACCAGTGCATGAACATGTACCCGGGAAAGAAAACTTACTTTAGGATACAGTTCCTTTTATAATGTTAAAGAATTCACCACTGTCCAAAATCTGCAAAAATGATAAGATTTTAAAATTGCTCTCTACATGTACCGGTATCCCGTATACAGTATGCTCCACAGGATAATTAAAAATACATGTACATTTTACTGCAACAATGTACTGTACACATGTACATGTAGTGGTACATTGTATGTAAATGCAACAGCCATGATGGTCAAGACTATAACTTACACGTACATGCATGTACATGTACAAGGTATCGGTACATGTGCAGTACATGTAGGTATGTACACTGTACATGTAACTTTGTGGACTGATGCCGTATGATACACACGCTAAAACTTGGTTTAAAAAATGACTGTTTAAAGGAAAGGACTGCCCATGAAAGACACAGTTATCATGGTTATGGGTACGATGCAGGGTACCAGTAAGTGTACTGTATAGTACATGTACAGGTACATGTACATGCATGTGGTGTGCAGACATTTTACATTGTTTTGCACACATGTACGGTACATGTACATGTACATTAATGTGCAGTATTGTAAACAATACATATGGACCTAAATGTACCGATACGGAATAAACTTGTTTGGAGCTGTGGAGAATGATACGAACATCTTAATGGAATTAAATTCTTGCAAACTCTGGAACTCACCATTATGCAGCCAACACTATGGAGCTACATGTACATGTACATGCAATATAACCATCACAACTTGGGGTGAAATGCAGGCTTAAGTTATCACTTAAGTGTGCAATGACCAATCCATTAGATTGCCTCCAGCATGCTGTGATAATCAAAGCAAACAGCCCCAGTTTACAAGCTCCACAGGACCCTACCATGTAGTCTCATACTGCTGCCTTAAGATGGTACCCAACTGTTGTGTAATTGCCATGTGTGCATACCAGATAAGAGCAGCACCATAGAAACATCAGTAAAACTTGATCAATGGGGACAGTGTTAAGCAAAAGGCTGCCTGAGTGCAAATGGACTGCCAATAGATTTATTGAGGATCCTGCTGCATGTTAATATTGATCAACCACTATCATAAATTACTGCTTCATGTATGAGTGGCCCTCATCCAATAAAACTGGTAATTTTGTTGGTAAGTATATATGCACATCACACATGCACAGGTGTATGGTATACAGGTATTGTACATGTACTGGTATTGTACATGTACATGTACCTATATTATCCAGTATGGTGAGATTACTGCGTTGGCTGCCCCAGTCTGCTGAAGATTCTACAATGTAACTGCTTTTATTTCTCATTAACCATATCACATTTGGGCCAATAAAGAAGGTACTGATGTACATGTACCAGTACATGTTTGTACCAATCATACATGTACGTGTATAGATTCTAAATCATACAAACCTTCCCCCCAGTGCCTTAGTTATTACAACAAGCCACTTAAATGAACATACATGCACACACTGGCATAAATTCAGGAGCAAATGGTAAAAGCCTGGATCTTTACTCTTGAAAGGGTACATGTATCATGCATCATGTTCTTGAAAGAGTGTCCTCAATGAAGTCCATCCTACCAAAAAAAATCTCATATCTAGATTTTAGTTTTTACCCACAGAAAAATATTGTACACATGCTGGTATATATATGTGTGTACATGTACACTGTACAAACATGCATCATTGTTTTGGATGTCGTGTCACAGAGAATATTCCTTACTAAACCCGCAATGACTTCCTCAGAAAAACAAGTTTAAATTTTTTTCAAGAAAAAGAAGTACCATGTACTTTAACAGAGTAAAAATCTCTGACAGAAATTTTTGAATCTAATCATGATTGGCAAACCAAATTTAAGAGGAATCTCAGGTGGAATTTCAACTACATGTAGCAGCAGGGTACTGCCACGGCAAAGGGAAATGAAAATTCCCTCCCCGAATTTCCAACATCAACGCCCCATCATGCACTGATAAGATCAAGATTGACAGATGCTGGGTGAAATCTGTGTACTGACTCAATTAAGCAACCTGACAGAGAACAGTGTGCTCAGTAGACTCTCTCTGTGCAATCCCACTCACCATCTCCTCTGTCTGTGAATGTTTCTTTTGAAGCTGAAGCCGTTGTCTTCTTTCCTTGGTGTCGGCATCCTCCATTACTGCATCAATGCCAGCCAGCGGAGGGGAACTCAATGGTTAATGATTGGCCATGCTGACAAGGGTCCCAGTGTTTACAGTACACGTGCACTTCCGCACATGCATGAAATGCCACTGCAGCAGTTCTATGATAGCCTGGAGCCAACTGGGAGCAATAGCAGAAGTGTGATCTCTCTTCCTCGATTGCAGCAGGAAGCTAAGGAGGGGAGGGAGACAGGCAAATCAGGCAAGCGACTTAGTGGCACTTCTGCCGACAACACACAGGTCAGGGTGGTCTTCACACCATTCACACTATCACGGTTCCACAAGTAGACAGTGATCACGGCTGATTAGAACAAGCGGCTTGTAGTCAACACTGCGGCTGCAGTGGGTGGAAAAATGACAGAGAAAAGTTTTTAATTCAGTTACAAACAGCTACCATAGTGTGACTGATTCCCTAACAGGGACCTTGAGCGAATGGAATGGCTCAAGTGTATGTAATATAATTACACATGAATTCATGGAAATTAATAACGGCACTGTGCTCAATAAACAGATGGCACAAAACAGGATTTCCTGTTCCACGACAAAAATCCAAGTTTTCAACTCGTGTCCAGAGTAGCAGAATGGTGCATTATGTACCATGTTGATGAATTCCACACGCGTATAAGCTGAAAAGGGGGAATTAACACACAAAAAAACCTTGAATGACCCAACTTATGATTTAAAAAAAAAAGTTCAACAAAATTTGGGAAAAGTTCTCAATTTTAAGCACAACAATTTTGGGTGGCACTCCTGGAAGGGGAAGGGGTCCCCCTTCCAAAATCTGTGGAACTTGTTCCACAAGTACATGTACATGTATATATTTATGGATGTACATGTACACGTGTACTGGTAAGGGTAATACTATGACATGCATGAAAACAATGAAAAGGAAACATTTTGTCTTATATTTTGCAATGCCATTCAAAAAAGAATTTCTTGTAAATATGGAAAGTATTCATATCATGTGTTTTGCAGCTGTGCCTAAAGAAGGGAAAAGAGGCATGTGCCAGTAGCCCCTCATCAGTTGAAAATAGCCATGTTGGTCTGGAGAGTTCATTTCACTGGTACAGTACGTGCATAGTTGTTTGTAAATCAGCAAAGTACAGTTCCAACCAAAGGAGCACACATTGCTAGCAGGAAGATAGCACTCTGTGTACTGTGTATGTACACGTACATGTGCATTTATAAGAAAAAAAGCTGCATTACAGCTTACACTGTACCAGTACATGTACTGTACAGTGTACTGCAGGCCTACACTGTACATGTATGTACATGACATACATGTACATGTACACATACCGGGACATGTACATGTACAGTACATGTACATGTTATATTGAGCCTAAGAAACTACATGTACTAATACATGTACATGTATATATGTACTTGCACTGGTACAAAGTATACAAGTACAAGACTACAAGTACATGTGCATGTACATGTAGATGTGATATTATCAACTAATGATTATTGTAAAGTTTCAAAAAGTACCATAAGAGTAAAAACTATAAAAAAAAAATAGGCCTACCGTTAAAAGAGCAACTGATGACTGGCATACCGGTACAATCGGAAAAATCCACTCTGTGTCACAGGAAATTAAAACAAAGAGGTTGAGAGTTGAAGTGAGTACTGAAAGTGCATGTAAACACTTCATTCTTATGGACAACACACACACTTGAGCACGTTCACGGTTTTGAAACCTTCCAGGATGTACATGTATTGTACATGTACGTACAGGTTACAAGCATATCATCAGTGACTAATAACACAGATTTCATGCTGGGTCATGATTTGCACAAAGTACCGGTCCATTACATGTACATGTACACATGGTACATGTCATGTTGAGAAATGTGCACGACATTTGGGTGTTTTTTTTCCATTAAGTGATATGGTAGATGCTGTATTATGATCGGCAATCATGATTTTCCAGTGAATCACCCCACCATGCAAGCTCACACATTGTAAAGAGATTTGCAATTCCTTCAAATCTAATACACTTTGCAAGGCTGGAGTTCAAATACACATGTACTGGTACACTGTACAGTACCGGTTCCAACACCAGCTTTGAAAGGCTGTATTAATTTGTCAGTACTAACATTCTCCTCTTGCAACATAGATGTATTTACAACAGAACAGATGAATGCACTTGATATTGTGGACATGTACACATGTATTATATAGACCTAACACCTGGAAAATTATTAACATCTGATTACGGGGGGGGTCAGTCACGGATCACTGAATTATTCGCTCTGCCAAACAGTCTGACATTAACCACTGGACAGAACTTTGTACACATACATGTACGACTGTACATGTACCGGTACATGCCCTTACTACATGCACAGTCCTGGCTCAAATAAACACACAAACATTCTGAATTTGTTACAAGTGATGGTTAGAATAGAAAGAAGCAAATGATCACATGTCGTCAAATGATGCAAGCAACTTGCAAAATGAACATGAACATCTTATGAAGCATTAACTCCTTTGGAATGTTCTAGCTTCGTCACGATTTTACTCTGATCTGAGAAAATAAAACAGTCGCTGCACATGTTTGAGTGCATGTACATGCAGTTCACATTCAGAAGTGCAACATTGGGAAGAATGATTTCCTTCAGTGACAGATTGAGAGTCTAGTCTAGTAACTCCAGTTGGGTTTGCTTCGTGGCCTAGAACTTTCCGTCACCCATGATACATGTACCTTCTGCCACTGCTGCATTCAATTAATTATTGACTTACAGTGGATGTAGAGTACACTGCATATGTATGCATACGTAGGGCTGTGCTTGATTGATTATCAAATATTCGAATCTTATTTCCAAATTTGAATAATCGAATACAAAATTCATGAAAGGGGATAACTTTCTTTTGTTTTAAATGAGAACAATTGGACAATGGAAGCTTGTTTCAAGCAGATTCAAATGAAGAGCAACAGCAATCTTACAATGATTCAAAAAGTAATTTTTTATTAGAAATTTTTGAAGGAACAGCAATTTTCAACTGGACAAGAAGTACCGGTAGTATTTGTCTCTTAAATCTTGCTAAATCATGGCTGGAGATACTCCAAGACATAAGAAGCTATTATAGTGATTATAATGTACATGTACCTGTACATGTACAATTGTGTGCATTATAGGAACTGATTTTGTCAGTTTGTATAATACATGTACCGGTATATGGTTTGTTCATCAACAATCTGCCGGTCGGTATGACCGAACATTCAGATATTCCATCAAATTGAAGGTCGAATAGTGAATTTTTCGAATTGATTCAGGCCTACACATTTGCAATAATTTACCTGAGAACTTAAAGCTTGTAAATCTGCCAACTGTACAATGTACATGTACTGTACATACCGTACACATCATCAAGCAGAAAGTGATCCCTGAACTGCACAGGTCATCACTTGTTAATAGGTTAACCAGAGCAGGAAGCCAACGTAATCCGAACAGATTAAGGGCTAAGTCCAGGATTTGACACAGATTAGGTTTAATTTCACCAGGAGCAGATAAAAAGCCACTGGGGATACTTAGGTTTTATCTCAGTCGACACCACACTTGCGCTTACCAGCATCTCCTTACAGCAAACTCATCCGATTGCTGGCAAAGATGATTAACAGACTAGGCACTGAGACAATCCGTCTGTGGATGGTACAGGCACCAACCAGCACAAACTTCAAACTGAACAAAGTGAACATACTTCCACTTTTTCATTATGAGGGAAATTTGATTGTGCATCAGCCCTTGGTGTCCAAGTAAGCACTGGTGCATTTACACAATTGAAATTCTTTTTGGAATATGCACTAAGTTTGCAAATCAAACTACTGAAATACTCATAACGGTTGTAAGGAATTCTAAAAGAAATAAAAAAATAAAACCCTCAAAAAATCTGTTTAAAAACTTATTATTATTACCCTACTGGTGAAAGGACAATGTGCAAACCTGATTTGGAATGTGAATGACAAATGAAACATACATGTACTGTATAGTACATGTACATGTGTACATGTACAGTACA